TAGTTTCTTCGTGGCCGCGACGACGAGTAGGATGCGCAATGAGGTGTGACGGGAGACTGGGGCGAATGTTTCTGTGTAGTCGGTTCCGTATCGTTGATCGAACCCTCGTACGACCCATCGAGCTTTGAATCGTTCGGTGGAACCGTCCGCATTGGTCTTGATGTGGTACACCCATTTTCCCGAGAGGACGTTCTTCCCGTTGATGCTTGTTGCAGGTACCAGCTTCCATGTATTTCGGTCTTGCAGAGCCTTTAACTCCTTTTCCATTGCCTCCTTCCATTTCGCCTTATGTTCCCCCCCCAGAGCCTGCGACAGAGTCGAGGGCTCGCGCGGAGATGGCGGCGGCGGATGCTGGACGGAGACCCATAGGCCGAGTATCTGCAGTCCCGTTGGTGTGTGTCGAGGGGAATTTTCATTCCCGGAATAGGCTGCTTCGTCACCGTCTTCTGGATCAGGTAAGAAGTTTGGGCCGATGCGTTCTGAAACATTCGTGTCGACCGGGTGGGGTGTAACGTAACCTTGGTCAGCGAAGTGGTAAAAGGTGTCGAGGTTGTTGCTATCGAGAGGATTGTCTTCGTCGAGTGGAACAGGTACGGAACAGAAAGGGAGTGGTTCGGCAGCTTCCGAGGCTCCAGGTACGTCTTCTTCTGCTGCGTCAGCCTCGGCAGCACGGTCGGCGAAGGAACGAAGGCCCGCGAAGCCGTCGGTGGGGTCATGTGTGTTGGCAATGTTGTCCAGGTAATGCTGCAGCGTCAGTCGCTCGTAGAAGATAACATCACGTGATGCCACTGTATTTTTGTCTTGTATGTCGAGGATTTTCCATGCGTGAAAATTTTTTGCGATGCCGAGGTGTAGTCCCCACCGAGCTTGTTGAGTGAAGCGTCCTGCTCGGGCTGTGTGGGGTCTGTACTGTACCATGCAGCCGAAAACTCGAAGTAATTTTGTGCTGCCCCTTTTTTGTGTCCACAGCAGGTGCGGTGATGCGTTGTTGGGAAGCGATGACGAGGACAACAGGTTGTGCAGGTGGACTGCATGTGTCATCGCGTCTGGCCACAGTGTGGTGGGCAGTCTCATCCCCAGGAGCAGCTTTCGCATCGTCGTCTGCAAGGTCCGGTTCATGCGTTCTGCGACCCCCTGCTGCTGGTGAGCGTAGGGCAGAGACACCAGGCGTCTGATTCCCCTTTCCGCCAGATAGGTCCTGAAGCGTTGTGACTGGTATTCGAGTGCACCGTCTGACTGGAAGCTCTTGAGCTTGGTTCCGGATTCTCGTTCGGCGATGGGTAGCCATGTCGTGAAGGCGTCGAAGGCTTGATCGCGCGTCTTGAGGTTGTAGTGCCAGACGTATCTTGTTGCTGCGTCGATAAACGTGATGACATAGTTGAAGTCGGCTTCAGCGTCTTCTCGAGGCATGTTTAAAATGTCGCTGTAGACTTTTTCCATCGGTGCGTATGCAGGTGCGCTTGGGTTGTGATGAGATGGGAAAGACTGGTGGGGAAGATCGGCTTCGGGGCACGTAAAGCACCGTACGCGTGGTCGTCAAAGTTCTTGGCCGCTCGTTGTTAGGAGAGCGTTGCGTTCTAACACTTCGGCTTGGATGGTTTGTAGTATTGTACTATTTGCAGGGTGCCCGAGTCGCTGGTGCCAGATGTCGTCGGGAGCGCGATGGCCGGGCGAGCGGTGGTATATGTCGGTGTTGGAGAAGAACGCGACGACTGTGGCGGGACTTCGACAGACTTCTCGTGTGATGGGCATAAGTTGATCTGCTTCGGTTGGCGGTCCTCGGATCGCTGGTGGTGGTACTCGGCTGGGTCCTGCTGCTGCTACTGCAGGTGATGGTTGGGAAGGGACACTTGCTGGTACTTGTCTTTCTTGTCTGATGACTGCTAATGCTCGTGTTCTCTCTGCTGCAGGTATGGTGTTGGAGTGCCAAAATCCATCAGGGTCGAAGTCGGGGTCAAGATCCGGCGGGTGTGTCCAGGCGGCGAACGACACGATTCCGTCGCTCTCGGCAGTACCGCGGTCGGGGACGAAGTCCAACACGAAGACGCCGGACTTCAGGAGAGCACGACCGATGAAGAGGCCGCCCTTCCCGTGGTAAAGGCGAAACTCGTTGGAGTAGGAGTCGCACTCCAGGTGAATCCCTTTTGCCATTAGCTGGCTTACGCTTAGTAAGTTGTATCCCAAGTTGTCGACGATGAGGACCTTGTTGAGTTGAAGTATAACGTTTGTCTCCATGGATTGTAACTGAACCACGCCTTGTCTGTTTGTTTTCAGGTTCTCGTTGTTGGCGACGGTGATGATGACGTCGCGGTTGAGGCGTCGCTCTCGTTGCACGAAGCGTCCGGAAGAACACATGTGTTGACCGCAGCAGCTGTCCAAGAACCAGGTGTTTCGCCCGGTGGGTTCGGCGTTGGTGACCGCAGCGTATGTCGGGTTGACCTGAAGTCCTTGTGAGCGCGGCGGCGGAAATTCTTCTTCGTCTGGTGCGTAAGTGGGTGGTGATCCGGGTGCGCAGTTGTCGATGTGTACCATGCAGTTAATGATGTTCGGTATCCCTTGTGCAGATATGGAAGAGCGCCTTGGAGGGCTTTCTTGAGTGGAGGCGACGTGTGGGTCTACTGGACGATAAACACGAGGACGTGTGCAGTTGACTTTGGAATGTCCGGAAGTCTGACAGTTGTGGCAGAACGGCGGCACAAAGGTGAGTCCTCTGTTGTCGCGTTGATCTTGCTTGCCGCGTCGATTGTAGTTGTTGTCGTTCCTTCGTTGAGTGTAGAAAACTAACTGCTGCTGCTTCCTTGGTTGTCGTTCTTCGAACATGTCCATTTCCTGTTGTTCAGCGTGAAGCTCGGCGCAGAGGTGCATCTCCGAGATTCTTCCGTGGGCGCGAAGAAGCGAGCGTGTGGTTCTCCATTCTGGCCCGAGCCCGGCGAAGACAAGCGTCACGAAGCTTTCTTCAGTGATTGTTCCTCCGCACCGAAGCAGGCGGTCGCGGAGGGTCTGGCAGCGACTCATATACTGCATCGCCTTTTCCCCGGTCTTCATCTGTATTGTTGTCAGTTGTTGCATGAGTCTGCTTTGTGTCACGCTGTCGTTTGCTTGATAGAGACACTTGAGATGATGCCATGCGAGTTCCGCGGAGTTTCCATAGCTCCGATATGTTCTGATGCTCTGCTGTTCTTGTGGTGACAGGTTCCGCAAGAGAAATGTGTACGCCAGCAGCGACTGATAAGTAAATATTTCTTGCTCCTTTGCAGTGCCGTTGCTTGGGAATGGCAGGGACCCGTTGAAGTATCCCAGGAGATGCGCAGCCTCCATCAGCAGCTCGAACTCAAAACTCCAGGTAAAGAAATCGTGTCCGTTGAATGGTGAGGATGTCTGCAGTTTAATCACGTGTGAAAACTGCGCCTGGAGACTTAAAATCTCGTTTGGTGTTTGTTGTGATGCAGCTGCTGTTGGTTGGGCACGGGGCGGCATGAACTCGAACGTCCCCGGTGAAGAGTGATAAGGCGCAAAGGTAGGCGCTTGATTGTGTCGCCCGAACGATGAGTTGTCAAGACTCATCGGCGCTAATCCCATGTTTCCTCCGTTGCTCTGTGTTGAATGCGCAGGTGTCCTTGTCTGCTGCTGCTGGTCGAAGTGCGACATGAAGCTGAAGAACCTTTCCATAAGGTTCGGATCCACGCTTGAAGAGGGTGATGGGGTCACCATTTCCGGTGCTCTTCCTGTTGTTTCTTGAGCAGCGCCGGTCTCGGTTTGCAGTCCTGAAGTGTGCAATCCAGAGTTGCCGGGTTGAGTGTCTTGGGCGCTGGGTGAGCCCGTAGAGATTTTCTTGCCCTTGCTGTCCATGACTTGTAATCAATGAAGTCGTTGAATTGCAGATTGTAGATAGAGCGTAGTTGCTGGGAGTTTGGTCTCTGACCAGCTCTCATACCATGTTGGGCTGAGAAATGCCCTTAGGATCTTTCCAGAGACTAAGTCCCAGTTGTAGAGTGGGACTTGAGTAGTGCAGCGGAAGTTGAGTGGTTGAACCCTTGTACTGGTATATGAGGACAAGTGATTGATTAAAGAAACAAGCATACAGCAATATATAGAAAATAGGAAAGTAAAGCAGTTGTAGAATACAGTTGCAGGAGCGGTTGTCGAGTCGCACAGCGACTCGATTGTCGCTTCGGTTACCATCCGCGCTGTTGTAACGGTCAGTCGCAACCTCCAGTTGCGACTCTTCAAGTCCCTTCGCGTTCTTTGCCCATCCCCTCGTGTAACCTCCGTTGACTCGCGTACCCGTTGCGATCTTCCTCGAGTGTAGTGTTACACTTCAGAAACGCTTAAGTCCTTCGAGATATTTCCAACAGCGTTGGCTTTGCAGTCGTAATCATACTGGACCGTCAGCGAGCTGTTGGATTTTTTTTTTTTTTTTTTTTTTTTTTTTTTTTTTTTTTGACATTGGTTGACGAGCCTGACACATCTGGATTTTCAGAGGCTCGCCGACCACTAGGCGTGGTCGCTCTGAAAGCACATGAGAAAATGATTGGACGGTCTTACATCATCCGACTTGACTGTCATATTTACTGTTCAGTTGAGACGGGTACACTTTGCTTACAAGGAGAGGTACTTAAGGATAAAATGCCTATGAGATACTCCCGGGCGTAGAAGGAGGCTGTCTACAAGGCATATGACTTGTAGGAGGTTATTCGCTGTCCAGATCGTGAACTGGGATCTCGGGATGATATTGCAAACCCCATGCTAAATGCCACGTCCTAAATATCAGCGCCACACCTCCCTTCTGCCTGCAGTCTGGAGGAGTGCATTGCGGTTGCGGAGTATGTCATCCCCTGTGTGTCACAAAGCATTGCAGTACGGTTTATTTCGGTAAAACATGGTACGAAGTCTCATGGTTCGGTTCAAGACAAACCGTTTCCCCGCGCCACGCCACAGGAATCACAAAATTTGCACTCGAATTCAACCCCCGAGACAGCTCTGCTCTTGCACTCCTATTCTGTTGGGAGCTGCACGTCACACCGTTATCTTCCTTATTGACGGGCCGTCAATTGAACCGGTCAGCTGCCTTCAGCTCCTGCCGTCGCGTTCGAAGACTTACTCTCCGGTCATCATCTGCTCGCGCACGTTTCAGCGGCGTCCGTGTCGCGCGCGTTCTCGTAGCGAGAAAGGGAATTGTTGAGGCAAACCTCTCGTTGAGGCACTTCTCCCGTTGTGTTGCGGCCAACGGTCCCCTCTCTCCTCGCGCCCGTCGCAAATCGCCCTTTCCTCGCTTCACACATAGCGCGCCACCTCGAGTCCTCCACTTGTCCGTCTCTGCTTCCCGCCTCATAACAAAATCCCATCGTCGTCGTCGTCGCCGTCGTCGTCGCCGACGTCGTCATCGTCGTCGTGCACCGCGCATCCCTCAGCACTGTCAACTCTTGAACGTCTCGAAATTCACACCGCATCTCACCGCATCATACCACGAATCTCCTTCCCTCCACCGTCGCTCGCGCTCATGGCGGCGCAACCCCCCGGCGTGCACGTCACTGGCGTGATCTTCGATATAAGAACGATCGTGGACGCCCACGCGCTGGGGAGCGGCGCAACAGGCGGAGGGGCGACAGGCGGAGGGGTTTCAGAAGATGCAGGAAAGGGAAGAGCAGACGCGGGGGTTGGGGTTGGGGGTGGGGGAAAGAGCAGCGGAGGCGCGGACAGAGGGTCGGCAGAGGGGAGGAGGGCAGACGCGGGCGGCGTTAAACTGCCCGGGAGAACGATTCGCACGCTGTGCAGGCTGCACTATAGCGGCGTGGGCATGGTGAGAGGTGCTTAAAGCCCTAGTCCCACATTGGTCACTCTAGGTACAGCGTGGATCGGGCAGCTGAAGTGATTTCGAGGCTCTGAATTGGATGTGAGCTTTCTGTCCTAGAGCTAGGTGTTGGTGACCTTGTTAACCCCATAAGCACCATAAGTTGGTGCCAAAACTTGACGATTAGCACATCCTATTGGTGCTAAAAGTCTCTCACTTAAGTCTCGATGAAGCTGGTAGTCCACATACGCCCCCCATCCGTGGAGTCAAGCCCCTTTGCTTCGGCTGCGGCGACCATATTGCCCCGGATTCCTCAACTCCCACCATTAGGCCGATCATGCACATGTCCATCCGTGCTGCCCTCTCCCAATCGCATCGTGCCGTTGGTCGCATCAGTTTGGAGTTTCCCCTCTTCGCCCTCCTTCACAATATGCCCGCCCTCCCTGTGCCTCTCTTCCCTGTTCCTCGCTGCACTGCCCGCTCTTGCGTGCCATCCGGCCATGCCTGCGTGCATTCTCTGCATGGTGTGCATGGTGTGCCCAACGCCTGAACGATGTGTGCTGGTGATGTGCCACACATGCGATGATATGGTATGGTGGAATGGAACCCACCCGTGTGCCATCAGGGTGTATTCTTCCACAGCAATCACCGTGACAGGCTGGAACAACAGGTGCACGCCCCCCCCCCACTCTCTCTCTCTCTCTCTCCTCTCCTCATCCCTCCCCCCTCTCTTTCCCCCTCTATTTTCACCCATCGAATCTTCTTCCATCTTGCTCTACTTCCTTCCCTTCCCTCCCTCCTGCCGTTTGCTTCCTTGCACTCCCCCTATTGCTTGCACCCATGCTATCTGATCCTACGCTCCTCTCCTACCCGACCCCCCTCCCTCCTATCAGCTCGTTCATTAAGTCGACTCAAATGCTTTCTGCTCCTCCCGTCCTCTCCCCCCACCCCCTCACCCTCGCCCCCCCTTTTCCTCTCCACCAGTTCCTGTCCCTGCAAGCGTCCCTGGCTGTCGACAAGGCCACCGCTCCCCTCGCCTCCTGCCTCACTCCCATCTTCCTCCCCCTCACACCCTCCCCTCCCTCTGCTGCTGCTCCCACCACCACCACCGCCACTGCTGCTGCAGTAGCCAGCACCACCATCCCTCCAGCTGCAGCAGAGTCAGAGTGTCCGCCTCCAGCCTCGACTATTACTGCGTCTGCTGCCACACTCCCTCCTCTCTCTCTACTCTGGGACCCTTCTACTTCCTGCTCCACCTCTCCCTCCCCCGCTTCCCCGCGCTTTCCCCAGCCAACCATGCTAGTGGCACTGCCAGGAGCGGCAGCAGGGGAGGTGCGCGTGGTGGCAGGTGCGTGAGTCGGTGTTGTTGCTGCTGTGGCAAGAATCTCCACAGCAGGCATCTGGTCAGCATGCATGCATCCTCTAAACATGCTGTCACTGTCCTTCCACTCCACACACATCCTCGGGCTCTTCCCTCGTATGCCTAAATGCTTGCCAAACCGCTCGGCGCTCTCCCCATCCCATCCTCCCATCCCACCAGGCCCAACAGCTGCTACTCTCACCTCAACCCCATCCCCATCCCCATCGCCATCCTCCGCCTCACCCTCTCATCTACAATGGCATCACTCCTCACTGCAAGGCGAGGCTCTATTGCCCGATATGGAGCTCCTACCGGCCTTGATTGCGCGGCTGAGCCAAGAGGTGAGGGTCCCACCCACCCCACACACCGGTTGATTCGTTCGTGATGACAGGATGCTCGTGGGCTGGTTGCAACTGCAACCTAACTGTATCAGCTTCTCTTCGATCCCCGGCCGTTCCGTTGGAGCCTTCCCATGCCATGCCATGCCATACGATGCCCTGCCATGCCATACGATGCCCTGCCATGCCATCCCTCTCACTCCCACACACCACAGGCATCAGGCCATGTCATCATCCCCTACACCATGAAGTGGTCCCGAGAACTCGACTTCCTCAAGGCATGTGCCCCAGGACATGCACATGCCCCACAACATGCACATGCCCCACAACATGCACATGCCCCATGGCATGCACATGCCCCATGACATGCACGTGCCCCATGGCATGCACGTGCCCCATGGCATGCACGTGCCCCATGGCATGCACGTGCCCCATGGCATGCACGTGCCCACGTGGCATGCACGTGCCCCATGGCATGCACGTGCCCCATGGCATGCACGTGCCCCATGGCATGCACGTGCCCCATGGCATGCACGTGCCCCATGGCATGCACGTGCCCCATGACATGCACGTGCCCCATGACATGCACGTGCCCCATGGCATGCACGTGCCCCATGGCATGCACGTGCCCCATGGCATGCACGTGCCCCATGGCATGCACGTGCCCCATGACATGCACGTGCCCCATGACATGCACGTGCCCCATGGCATGCACGTGCCCCATGGCATGCACGTGCCCCATGGCATGCACGTGCCCCATGGCATGCACGTGCCCCATGGCATGCACGTGCCCCATGGCATGCACGTGCCCCATGGCATGCACGTGCCCCATGGCATGCACGTGCCCCATGGCATGCACGTGCCCCATGGCATGCACGTGCCCCATGGCATGCACGTGCCCCATGGCATGCACGTGCCCCATGGCATGCACGTGCCCCATGGCATGCACGTGCCCCATGGCATGCACGTGCCCCATGGCATGCACGTGCCCCATGGCATGCACGTGCCCCATGGCATGCACGTGCCCCATGGCATGCACGTGCCCCATGGCATGCACGTGCCCCATGGCATGCACGTGCCCCATGGCATGCACGTGCCCCATGGCATGCACGTGCCCCATGGCATGCACGTGCCCCATGGCATGCACGTGCCCCATGGCATGCACGTGCCCCATGGCATGCACGTGCCCCATGGCATGCACGTGCCCCATGGCATGCACGTGCCCCATGGCATGCACGTGCCCCATGGCATGCACGTGCCCCATGACATGCACGTGCCCCATGACATGCACGTGCCCCATGGCATGCACGTGCCCCATGGCATGCACGTGCCCCATGGCATGCACGTGCCCCATGACATGCACGTGCCCCATGGCATGCACGTGCCCCATGGCATGCACGTGCCCCATGGCATGCACGTGCCCCATGGCATGCACGTGCCCCATGGCATGCACGTGCCCCATGACATGCACGTGCCCCATGACATGCACGTGCCCCATGGCATGCACGTGCCCCATGGCATGCACGTGCCCCATGGCATGCACGTGCCCCATGGCATGCACGTGCCCCATGGCATGCACGTGCCCCATGACATGCACGTGCCCCATGGCATGCACGTGCCCCATGGCATGCACGTGCCCACGTGTCCGTGCTCGCTATCTGCACCCGCCTCTGCCAGCTCGTTCAAGGATTGCTCGCTCCCTGCCGTATGCTTACTCATTCCATCCTTTCCTTCGTTCTCCCTCTCTCCTTTCCCCTCCACCTTCCGCTGTACTGGATGCATGCATGCACCTCTTGGCTCACTGCAGCGCAGAGCATTTCCCCTTCTTTCATCATCACCATCACCATTGCCAGAAGCACCAGGCCTCCTCTTCTCTCCCCTCGTCCTCTCACAACCGCTCACTGACACGAACAGACCCAACCAGAGCAGCAGCTATTCACAGTTGCCATTAACATCGCCCTCGCGCCCCAGCACTGTGCTGCATAAAGCAACGGACGAGATCGTCCAAGTGGACGCAACGATGGGCGGCGTTCATCTCACCTTCTCGCCCCCCTTCCAGCATCTGCTTGAGTGGGTCTGGTCTTTTGCTCTCCTCCCTTCCTGTCCCTTCTGCTCCTCTTTCCCTCTCCCTCGTCCCCCAAGCCCCCCTCTCAATCTTCCTTCCTCTTCCCACCACCTGCATCCCCTGTGCGTTCATTTTTTAGTCGACTGAAATGTCAGCTCTCACTCTTCCCCTTCCCACCACCTGCTTCCCGCGCTCATTCCATATTTTCCTCTCTGCTTCGTCGTCAGTTTGCTCTCCTGTCAGTTTAGAAAATCTCTGCTCAAGTTGCCTCATCCTGTCCTCCTCCTCTCCCCCCTAACCCCTCACTACGACTACTCCTCTCCTATCCTTTCTCCATCCCCTCTCCACCATTCCCATTTCCCCCCCCTTCTCGTGCTTAACCAGCCACTGCAGCAGCAGTGCAGGCAGCATCAACATCCTCGACCCGCTGCCCGCAGTCCTCCCGTTAACCGACCGTGTCAAAACGCTATCGCTCCTCTCCGATCTCCTCTCCCAGTCCACCACCACCTCCGATGCTTCCCAGGGGTTCCAGTCTGAGCTGCCTTCAGCGGTCCTTCGGGTGCCGCGCTTTGTGCAGGTGTGCGTTGGGGCAAGGGGAGGGGAGATGGCGGGAGGGGGAGCATGGGACGGGCGGGAGAGGGAGGTAGCTGGTGTTGTTTACTGCAGATGAAGTTGACTTGAATGTCTACCCTTCAAGATTTATATGTGTGGGTGGTGGGAGAATCGCTTGAAAATTCTCCGTTGGTATATGTGTCGTCGCCTTCCCTGCTGCTGCTGGTTTCGAATCGCCCCACCTTCTCTCTTCTCTCTCTGCACCTGAATGTCTCACCCACCTGAACAATCTGGCCCTGTGAGTTTGACCGTGAACCGTCGTATACATCGTCCCTCTTCTCACTCTCACACCTTGCTCCTCGCTCTCTCTCCTGCCGTGTCTCTCGCTCCTCCCTCCCCTCCCCCCTCCACCCCTCCCCTTTGCACGGCCCAGGTACCGGACATAAGGGACACGGCAGCGGTGGTGGCAGCCATGGCAGCAGCAGGGGTGCGGCTTCCAGTGATTGTGAAGCCGAGGATTGCATGTGGTGCTGCTGCCAGCCATGCCATGGTACGGTATGGTGTGGTGTGGTGAGGTGTGGTACGGTGTGGTATGGTATGGTACGGTGTGGTACGGTGTGGTATGGTATGGTATGGTATGGTATGGTATGGTATGGTATGGTACGGTATGGTACGGTGTGGTATGGTATGGTATGGTATGGTATGGTATGGTATGGTATGGTATGGTATGGTATGGTATGGTATGGTATTGTATGGTATGGTACGGTGTGATATGGTGTGGTATGTTGTGGTAGTGGTATGGTGTGGCCTGGTGTGGTTTGGTGTGGTGTGGTGAGCTGTGGTGTGGTGTGGTGTGGTGTGTGGTGTGGTGTGGTGTGGTATGCTCTGCTATGCTATGCTATGGCATGGCACTGCATCGTAATGGTATGATGTGGTGTGGTGGGGTGTGGTTTGTTATGGTTGGTATGCTTCTCATACGCACTCTGAGATCACCATGTCCCATGGTGCTTCCTCACTTGCGTGTCATCATTTATGTAAGAGTCAAGCACTTGCTCGCCATGTCCCGCGGTGTTGTCCGCTTCCGTCTGAGTTCCACTGCTCTGTGCTCACTCGCCCTCTTTCCTCTCACACATCGATGCATCCCTCTCCTCTTTCCTCGCCTCTTTTCTCCTCTTCTCTTTTCTCCTCTCCTCTCCGCCCGTCCCTTCTCTTCTCACCTCCTGCCTGTCTTCCCTTTGACCCCTCTCAATCTCCCCTCCCTCCCATTTCCTTCAGGCAATCGTCTTTTCCGCTGATGCCTTTGCCACGCTGGCGTTACCATCACCCTCAGTCATCCAGGTGAGGCCCCCAGGGAATCGCAAGGTGAGACTGCCACCCCTCGCTCCCTCTCACCACCTGCTCTTGCTAGTCACCCCCGCGCATTCGTTACACGTTGCGTTGTGGCATGCGTTACACGTTGCGTTGTGGCATGCGTTACACGTTGCGTTGTGGCATGCGTTACACTTTGCGTTGTGGCATGCGTTACACGTTGCGTTGTGGCATGCGTTACACGTTGCGTTGTGGCATGCGTTACACGTTGCATTGTGGCATGCGTTACACGTTGTGTTGTGGCATGCGTTGCACATCGCATCGTGTCATGTGCTGCACCTCTCCCCCCCAACACTGTTGGGTGGTCGCTACCTCCCCACCTCCTCTCCGAGCCACCTCTTTCTCTACTGAGCTCTCACTTGCGCAGCACTTTATCGGTGGTATTCCTTTGTGGCCTAAATGACCTCCCACCTCCTCACCAGCCCGCAGCTTTATCGTACTCTCATTTCCTCCCATTCATCTCCCCACTCCCATTGCAACCCAATCTCCCTGCTGCTCAAGAAAATTTGGCTACCCCTCATCCAATTTCCTAAGCTTCTACACTTCCCGCTCTCCCTCCTCCCCCACCCAACCCCCCCCTATTCTCCCCCCTTAGCCTGCCGAGCTCGTCACTTCCCATCCTCCCCCTCCTTCCCTCCTGCTTCTATGCTCCCTCCCCTTCCCTCCCTCCGTCCCTCCTCTGCATCCCCCACTCGCTCCCCACCCCTTATCCCCCACCCTTAAGAGTACGTGACCACAGCGCGTGCCAGTTCAAGTGCTATGTACAGTGTCCTATTTGCATGCCAGACTGACACAGCACCGCCTCATCCCTGCCTCTCCCGCCTCCCCCCTCCCTCCCCATACTTGGCCCCTTCCCCCCTCATCTCCCCCTCTCCAGGAGTACAAGGACCATGGCGCATGCCAGTTCAAGTACCCCGTTGTGGGCGAGTCCCTGCATGCCAGAGCCACGCAGCATCGCCTCACCCTTGCCTCTCCCCCTTCGCCCCTCCCTCCCTGTGCTTGCTCTCCGCCCCACACCCCCCCTCTTCTTCCACATCCCACCGCCACAGGAGTACGTGGACCATGGTGCGTGCCAGTTCAAGTGCTACGTGCTGGGCGAGGTGTTTATCGTGACTGGCTGAGACATGCAGCCACCCCTCCGCCACCCCTCCGCCACCCCTCCGCCACCACTCCGCTACCCCTCCCACCCTCCCCTCCATGTGGCTGAGTAACCACTTTGTGGCTGATCCTTGTCCCTCTACTCCCCCTTCCACCCTCCTCTCCTTCCCCCCCACCACCGCATCCCCGCTTGCCCTCACAGGAGTACGTGGACCACGGCGCGTGCCAGTTCAAGTGCTACGTGCTTGGAGAGGCCTTCTTTGCAGCCGAGAGGCGCAGCACGCCCGATGCTGCCCCGCTGCTGCAGCAGCAGGGAGAGACGCAGCAGCAACAGCCGCAGGGGGGAGGAGCATCAGAGGCACCAGCTGCAATTTCTTTTGACAGGTTTGTTCGACCTGTTATACCAGTGCATGCCTGCCTGCATTCCTGCCTGCCTGCCTGCCTGCCTGCCTGCCTGCCTGCCTGCCTGCCTGCATTCCTGCCTGCCTGCCTGCCTGCCTGCCTGCCTGCCTGCCTGCCTGCCTGCCTGCCTGCCTGCCTGCCTGCCTGCCTGCCTGCCTGCCCTGCCTGCCTGCCTGCCTGCCTGCCTGCCTGCCTGCCTGCCTGCCTGCCCTGCCTGCCTGCCTGCCTGCCTGCCTGCCCTGCCTGCCTGCCTGCCTGCCTGCCTGCCTGCCTGCCTGCCTGCCTGCCTGCCTGCCTGCCTGCCTGCCTGCCTGCCTGCCTGCCTGCCCTGCCTGCCTGCCTGCCTGCCTGCCTGCCTGCCTGCCTGCCTGCCTGCCTGCCTGCCTGCCTGCCTGCCTGCCTGCCTGCCTGCCTGCCTGCCTGCCTGCCTGCCTGCCTGCCTGCCTGCCTGCCTGCCTGCCTGCCTGCCTGCCTGCCTGCCTGCCTGCCTGCCTGCCTGCCTGCCTGCCTGCCTGCCTGCCTGCCTGCCTGCCTGCCTGCCTGCCTGCCTGCCTGCCTGCCTGCCTGCCTGCCGCCTGCCTGCCTGCCTGCCTGCCTGCCTGCCTGCCTGCCTGCCTGCCTGCCTGCCTGCCTGCCCCTGCCTGCCTGCCTGCCTGCCTGCCTGCCTGCCTGCCTGCCTGCCTGCCTGCCTGCCTGCCTGCCTGCCTGCCTGCCTGCCTGCCTGCCTGCCTGCCTGCCTTCCTTCCTTCCTTCCTTCCTTCCTTCCTTCCTTCCTTCCTTCCTTCCTTCCTTCCTTCCTTCCTTCCTTCCTTCCTCCTCCTTCCTTCCTTCCTCCTTCCTTCCTTCCTTCCTTCCTTCCTTCCTTCCCCTTCCTTCCTTCCTCCTTCCTTCCTTCCTTCCTTCCTTCCTTCCTTCCTTCCTTCCTTCCTTCCTTCCTTCCTTCCTTCCTTCCTTCCTTCCTTCCTTCCTTCCTTCCTTCCTTCCTTCCTTCCTTCCTTCCTTCCTTCCTTCTTCCTTCCTTCCTTCCTTCCTTCCTTCCTTCCTTCCTTCCTTCCTTCCTTCCTTCCTTCCTTCCTTCCTTCCTTCCTTCCTTCCTTCCTTCCTTCCTTCCTTCCTTCCTTCCTTCCTTCCTTCCTTCCTTCCTTCCTTCCTTCCTTCCTTCCTTCCTTCCTTCCTTTCCTTCCTTCCCTTCCTTCCTTCCTTCCTTCCTTCCTTCCTTCCTTCCTTCCTTCCTTCCTTCCTTCCTTCCTTCCTTCCTTCCTTCCTTCCTTCCTTCCTTCCCTTCCTTCCTTCCTTCCTTCCTTCCTTCCTTCCTTCCTTCCTTCCTTCCTTCCTTCCTTCCTTTCCGCTGCTATCTTCCCTCTTGTGTCCATGCACTCTCAGCATCTGCCTTCACTCCCTTCCCCAATACCTCTCTCAGCAACTCCTGTGCTCACTCTGAGTCTTTCCGTTCCTTCATCGACTTTCTCACTCGTGTCGCCACATCTCCCCACCATCCCCCGAGCCCTTTCATCCCTCGCTCACCCACCCTGGATTCCCTCCTCTTTCTCTCGCCAATCCCACCCCTCAACCCTTCCTCTCACTCACTCACACACTCCTCTCACTCACTCATTCCTCTCTCACTCACCCCTCTTACTCCCCACACCAGTCTCAAGTCCCTCCCCATGGCCTTCCCAAGCCAACCCAGTGCCACTCCTCAGCCGCCCCTTCAGCAGCAGCAGGGAGTGACTAAGCCAGGCATCCCTAGTGGTGCTGCCCAGGAGGGGAAAAGCCCCCTAGGAGCAGCGTTCAACGAGGGTGCGGCATGCCATGCAGCGGACTTGCTGCGCACTGCCCTCGGCCTCACACTCTTTGGCTTCGACATCCTTGTAAGAGAACCAAAGAGAACCACTCGTTGCATTCAAGAGAACCACTCTCTCTGTGGCAAACGCATCGGTTGCTTTACAGCCCGTCTACTTCTCATGCTTCAAATCCCCCTCCAGTGCACTGTAATGCACTGCACAAGCACACATTCCCATCCCACTCTATCCAGACTCACAGACGCAGTCCTGCCATGCGTTGCCTTGTGCTTACCCTCACCTCCACCATCCCCACACACCAGGTGCAGAAGGGCACAGGGGAGCACGTGATAGTGGACGTCAACTACTTCCCCTCCTTCAAGGACGTGCCGGACCACCTGGCCATCCCTGCATTCTGGGCGGCTTGCGCCTCACGCATTGTGTGATGTGAGCCCAAGGTCTTTTAGGTTAGGCGTCGCAGAAGTCGAGGTGCACTGGCCAATGGCCATCCCTGCGTTCTGGAGAGCCTGCGCGTCACATCCCACTCTTGTAGAGTAGTGCTGTTATGGTGGTACTGAACCGTAGGACAAGCAGCAAGCACTTGGATGTTGGACCCCCCCCGGAACTTGGGGTCTAGGCAGATGAAGCCATGGGGGGGAGGGAAAGTAGGAGGGAGAGGGTGTTTCGAATCGATGGTGATTATCCTATGAAGATTATCCTATGAGGGAGAGGGAGTAAGATTATCCTATGAAGTGTGTGCCCTCATAATCCTATGCATGTGATTCCGAAGGTGGTGGTGGTGAAGAGCTGTGGCTGCATAAGCTGGAGATCAGGGTAGGTGTGTGAGTAAGACCCCCCTTGTCACTCTAGTGAGCCTCAGTTGTGGGGTTGGGGCTGGCTGTTTTTAGTGGCTTTCATTTCAGTTCCTTTTCACATTAAGAATGGAGAAAGGCACAAACAAACCTTAACATACCTCAGTTGCCAGAATTTGAATTGCCAGCATCAATTATATAGGATTGACAAACAGCGCTTTCAGTTGGGTTTATTTCATACCCTAGTGGATACATGCTAGTTGCAAGATTTTGAGACTCAATCCAGTCAGCGCTTGTGGTACTACAGCTACTATTACCGTACTACTAAGTGACAGCAGGCAAAGCCGCTCATTCCAAAAACCAAATCATACAGGCGACGCCCCTGAGAACTCACAAGTAGAAGACCCAACCTCGTTAGATTACACCACAGGTTGAGGGGCAGATGCATTAGCCAACAACGACAGTTGGTCAGCAATGGTAGTGTCCCTCACAAACCACACATGGGACTCCCCGGGCGGCACAAGGGTGTCACAGTGCACGTTGGCTGGGTTGACCACGCCGGACAAGTGGTAGTGCCGCAGCTCACTCCCCGCGTTCAGCACCACGCCTCCCTTCTGGGGCTCCCGTGCCACGTGGATGGACATCACTGATGTCTGGCGAGTGAGAGGGGCACAGAGTAGGGGAGCACACATTGACTGAGCTGACCATGCCGGACAAGTGGTAAAGCGGCAGCTCACTCGCCGCAGCCCACTCGCCGCGTTTAGCACCATGCCTCCTCCCTTCTGAGGCTCCCTGGCCATGTGGTGGATCGGCATCACCGAGGTCTGGGAGTTGACTGAGCTTTGAGTCGACTAAATAATCATCTTCCCACTGGTCCCACCCACCTTCCTGGGTTCAACTATGAGCTTCCAGTATCCCCACCGATCCTCACAAGGGTCCAACTCGATCCAAAATTAAATTCTCCTCACCTTTCCTCGCTTCTCCATCTGGTCTCACCTTCCTGGGATTGACGACGAGCTTGCGGTGGCCACGCCAGTCCTCACACAGGTCCGGTTCGATCGGCTCCTTTGCCCCGTCCTTCACACACCACACCTCCGGCCGCCGAAACACCAGCTTCGACAGCACCTCCAAGCCCTTTCTTTTCGCCGCTGCTGCTGCTGCCTCTGCACCTGCAGCTTCTGATGCCTCTGCTGCTTCTGCCCCTGCTGCTTCTGCCCCTGCTGCTTCTGCTCTTTCTGCCCGTGCTGCTTCTGCACCTGCTGCATCTGCTTCTGCTGCATCTGATGCTTCTGCATCTGCTGTTTCCGTCGCTGCTGTGTCTGTGGCAGACGCCTCACTGCTGCTCCCTTCACTTTCAGCAGCGTGGCTGCCATTCCTCCCTTCACTCCCCTCCTTCGGCCCCCCATCGCACACAGACAACTCCACAACAAGGGCCCCGTGGGAGAGCCAGGCCGCCTGGCTGTAGGCGGCGAGGAGCGAGGGCAGGGAGTGTGGCGGCACGGGGGCGAGGAACTCGTCGGTGTCGTGCAGCGTGACCCAGCGGGAGGTTGCGAGGGAGCGGAACATGCAGTCGTTGTTGGCCAGGGTCTGGTGGGGGTGGGGGGGGGGGGGTGGGATACAGGAGACAGAAGCACAGTGTACAGGGGGGAGACAGGAGGGAGAGCGTGAGGAGAGGGAGCACAGGCGAAATAAGGGAAGAACAGAAAGTGGGAGCCTGAAGGATCGGAAATGTCTTGATCCGCACAGTGCTGTGCCCGTTATGCATGCAAACATATGTTATAGAGATGTGATGTACACGTTATTGAATATAAGTTACGAAGCAACACTCCCGCCCACCTGATGTTTCGATACGAACGCGAGAAGGGCCCCACCCGCGAAGAATCCGAGGCGGAACCCAGCCGACATGTCCGTGATCGCAGCGATGCGCGCGTCGAAGTAGGGCTGGAAGACCGCGGTGAGCTGTGGGGTCCACGCCGCCATGTCGTAGAAGACGAAGCGCTGCACGCCCATGCGCGCGCGATGGTACTCCGCCCACACCCACACCGCGCCCTCGTCCAGCGCGCCGTAGAGCGGCTGCGAGCACCACGTGAGGCGCACGGGGAGCGAGTCGTCGGGGGGAGGCTCCAGCGGCTGGAGTTTGGGGGGGGAGATGGGGAGGGAGTTGATCGTAGCGGGCGAAGGGTTGTGGACACGGGAAAGGAAGGGAAGCGTTGCGGACGAAGTGGCACGTAACGTAGCACACCAAACACACTGCGAAATGGAGACTTGTCTCGAAAACAATAATACTATCACGGTTGCAATTAAGTTACTTGCTCGCACGAAGCTCCCTGAGCGCCAGGAAGCTGAGGGCACTGTGCCTCCCACGTGGCACTGGGCCTCCCTAGTGGCATGATGTGAATTTTCCACTACCACGCCCCTCTCGAGGTTTGAAGACCACCTTAGGCACTTGGACTTTTCCTGGGTGCTTTAGATTGGCTGCTCAGACGCCATTCACGATTTGCTTTGGACTTCGTTCTGCACTGAAGAAGGCTAAGCCAGGCCATTCCCGCACCTCACCTCCCCCAAACCTCACCTCCCCCACACCTCACCTCCCCGGCCTCCTCAGTGAATACGGCAGCCTCCACGCCGTCCATGGTCATCGCCAGATAGCCGCCCGCCCGGGAGGTGTTGCCTGCCAGCTGGCAGAACGCTGCTAACGCGTCATTCTGCAAAGGGGGCGAGGGGAGTGGTGCAAAAAGAAGGCGGACGGGTGGGGGTGGAGGTGCAAAAAGAAGGCGGACGGGAGGGGGGTTGTGTTGCTAGCAAGACAGGCTGGGAGCGAGGGGAGCAGCGAAAGGGGGGGATGGAGAATGTGGGGGAGGAGAGAACCCATGATGCGAACATTAGTCTTGAAGCCCGTATTGTGCATCAGATGTACCCATGAATGCGGTTTTGGCAACATAGCGCACCAAGGCGAGGAGCAGGTGTACCTTGGACTTGGGATGCATGAAGTCTCTGTACCGCACTGTACCGTTCACACTACTCCCGTCTCGCCCCACCCATCGGCAGCCCTCTCCCTCCTTCACCCAAAGGAAGTCGAGCCTGCTTATACCGAGTACGACGAAGCGAGATGGGCTGATGCGGTATGCACTGGGGGGGTTGGAGAGGACAAGGAGGAAGGAGATGGCGGGGCAAAGGAACGGGGATCAACTTACAGAGAAGGGAAGGCATGGGAATGAAACAACTTACATTCACTTGAAGAGGATTCAACATGGCATGTAAACTTATGTCGCTTATAGGTAGCACCTGAAGAAAGCACCTGAGTTGTAACAGCATGCGAAGCAGGTAGTACCTGAACTGGTAGATGAACCCTCTCTGCTGGTAGGTGCGCTGCCTCCACTGTTTCGCCTCCACCTCAAGCACTCTCGCTATATTCACGTCCGACTGGTTCTGCCCGCGCCTCGCTTCAATGCCCTCCGTGTAACGCTGTTGACACACGCACACACGCGTGTAGTCACACACGGACACAGACGCAGACCCACACGCAGTCCCACACGCCGACACACATGCAGACACACGCGCAGGCACACGCGCAGACCCAAACGCAGTCCCACACGCAGACGTGCAGAGGGCAATTCATGGGGTTGGAGTAATGGGTGGTGGACGAGCGTCGCAATGCTAAGTAACTCTGAATCTGGAACCAAACCATCCCGAGGTAAGTCAATGCAGAGCCATCCCAAGACACCGCGTGAGCCCGGTAATCTCCACAAAGTCCCCGCGTAGCTACTAATTAATACTTTAACTACCGCTTAGTAGGTCCCGCAACAGCCGCCGGCGCCGCCGTTATTCAGTGGCCAGCGGCTCACCCACCAGTAGTTGTTCCACCGTCGACACGTCACTCGCTGCACCCTGCTGCTGCTCTTCGCCCCTTGTCACTCCGCCCAGCCCGCTACCCGCATCCTGCGCCACTGCCACGGCGGCAATCGCGGCGGGCGCGTTGCAGGCGCTTGAGGTACCGTTTGGCGCGGCTTGGCGCGCGGCGGAGGAGGGGGAGCGTGAGAGAAGGAGCGGGAGGAGGAACGGCGCCAGTGTGTTCTGGAAGAGGGCTTGCCATACGGGCAGGGGCAGGGGCGCGGAGAGGAAAGGGTGAGGTGGGAAACGGAGTAAGCCCACGTTCACGTGCATCGAACCAGGGAAATGCGGAATGAGGGCGTAGCGTTCCTTTTCCTTGGGGCGTTAGCGTTCGCCCTGCACACGCAGCTATCAGTTGTCGAAGGACGCATCGCATGGCTGGCACACGCAGCAATGCGCATGCGTGCACACAATCTCTGAGATAGACAGCCGGATCGCCGGTTCGCTGCGCCGAGATTCGCGGCGGAGAGCGGCAAGCGTTCGCTCTAGTAAGGTCGCTGGCGCCCGCTTCAGCGCGGAAAGAAGGAGAAGCAGCTGTGAACGCTGTAGAACGACGCCGAATCGGCTTTATAGAGTTTTGAGTCTCCCAGCTGAGCGTTACCCACTAGGAGATCATACCGCGCACACCAGCAGCGGAATGAGGACGAACAGCGTGGCTGCCACGTGTATGCCCCACGCGCGGTGCGAGCTTTTAAGTTGTGGACACGTCATCATCCTGCAAGCCTATGGTTTAGAATCCCCCACAGCTATCTGCCACTGCTAATGCTACTGCTACTGCTACTAATACTAAGTCGCGCCTTAGACTTGAGCGAGGGCGAGCAGAAGACACCGACGAATCAGCACGTGGTTCTGTTTTGGGAGGAGCTTGTCCTGATAGGCTCTGCTTTGCATCTACTTGTTTTCCATCACTGTGTCCCGTTAGGTAGTAGTAACGATCCGTCAGGCGCTAACTGGAGGCGCGTGCAGCAATATGAGTGATGATCATCCGTCAGTTTATCTATCTACTCGAGGCAGATGATGGAAGCATTATGAAGGTTCAACAATAACTGGTGCGACAGGCGGGAACCAAGCAAGACTGATTAGCGGCTGATTTGGTGGGTGGGGCTCGGGCCACGCGTTACTGAAGCACGTCCGATTGCGGTTCGCAAAGATGTTTTGCGTTCTGAAACGGCCAAATAAAATTCTAGAGCGGTTTAGTATGGTATTTTGCCAAAACGATTTTAGGTGTGCCTGCGTGACATGATCATACACGGTGTTATGATTTAGAAAATGTCAATGAACTATAACGTCACTATTGCAATGAAAGCACGAGGTTATATAGGAGTAGGCGTAATAGGGCGATAACCTCGGGACGTGGGTAGGTTCGGCAATGTGGCGACGCTGTCGGGCGCGACTCGAGAAAGGGTTGGGTCGAAAATGTAGGCCGAACGTGACGAGTCGAAGTGTTCGGGTGTACGCGGTAGCGGGTGATTCAGTAAGGAATGGAAATTCCTTACACTACCCCCCCCTCCTAAACGAGTCCGTGGGCATCGGAGACGTTACGACGCCTATAATACGCCATTAGAATCGGATATGATCTTAGGTCAACGAGAGACACCCAGCTGTCGTCTTCGAACGTGCGATCGCGCCAGCGGACGAGGAAATCAACTATCCGATGGTTCAGCTGCGTTGTGACGCGATGGCCGAGGATTTTCAACGGCTCGGTCGTCGGTTCTTGCAAATGGGTCAGTTGCGATACCCCGCGGTTGCGTGCCAAGTCCGACGAACTCGGGACGTAGGGTCGGAGAAGACTGACGTGAAAAGCCGGGTGGTGGCGCCAATCAGCCGGTAGTCGAAGGTGAACAGTGACAGGTGTCACTAGGTTGGTCACTTGAAAAGGTCCGCAGAATCTGGGTCGGAGTTTGCTCGGGATCGGCAGCCGCAGATTGCGGGTGTCGAGCAGGGCTGTCGTTATCAGGGTATTTTACCCTGATTCCCTGATTTCACAGGGTATTTTTTTTGCCAACCCTTAATTTTCAGGGTTGGGTTTTTTTGAACCCTAACCTCTTCAGGGTTGTATGTTTGTGAACACTGAATATTTCAGGGTTTGCGTTATCCCAACACTGAGTTTTCAGGGAGTAACGCGTACGAACCCTGAATGCGACATCCATGCGGACCCTGAGTTTCCTCGAAATGGCCCCCTTACGCATGACGGGGCCCAGTCCATTGAACACGCCCAGCATGCGTCACGGGGGGAATCTGCACTCGGCAAGATTCCCGCCGTGAACATGCTGTATGTTGCCATTACAGCAACATTTGCAACCGTCAGCTGGCATTCGTGACTCAGCACGCAGCAGACGAGGACAGAATATGATGAGCGCGGCAATGTCAGCCTCTGTATGACATCACCCCGCCAATCATCTCTGTGCAGACGATGCCAGCGCAGGTGCGTCTCGCCGTTAACGTTATTGCCATGGCGGTACGGGAACCTGGATGGGGTATGCACCATCCATGAAAATCGAAAGATGGTGCTTCTTGGTCCTCTTCCCGTCTTCTTCACCAGCTCCTCCTCCAACCCAGTTTTTTTCTGTTCTTCACGTCACAGCTACGAGATGCTCCAGTCTTCTGTCTCCTCTAGTTTCGTCGCGCCGATTTCTCATTTCCATCATATCCGCCGCTTCTAGCCATGGCGGATGTAGGAGACTCTGGTGAGTCTCCCACTGCCGATGATGGTTCTGGACTAGGTAGGGACCCCCCCGTGGAGGTCCGTAGATCCGCTATAGACATCTTGCGGTCTCCCACCGCAGTCGTTACACCATCACAACCCGTATCTACTCCCGCCGCTCCCTATGTACCTCCGCCCGCTGTCGCCTCATCTAGCCGGGGCCCTTTGGTTCCAGACTGCGAGACAGCCACGACCGTGCGTTACACGGTCGAGTGTGCGTCGACGATTTCATCTGGGAAGAAAGCACGCGTCGGGAAGTACACCCAGAGCACGATAGTCCTCGGCGGGAAGCTACATCGACGGTCGCCGCCTCGCACGTCGCCTGAACCTCAGGCCCCTGGTATTCCAGAACCCGAGCCGCCGAATCTCTCAAAGAAGGAACTCATCGAGCAGAAGTATCTCATGGCTGAGCACAAGTATAAGACCAGCTGGCTTCCATTTTTCCCTTGGCTTCTGCTAACGAAAACGAAAGACGGTTACCCTGCTTTGAAGTGCAGTGTGTGCAAGGCTTTCGGCAAAGAGACAACACCGTACTCCAACAGCCGCGACGGGGCACGTGACCTGCAGACGCAAGCGATGCGGTTCCACGAACACACGACAGCCCACGAAGTAGCAGTCAAGCGTCAGATGGAGATCGCCGAAGACATCGCCAGCACCCAGAGACGCATGGAGAATTACGCGCGGACTGACATCGAGGGGAAGCGTGTCATGAGGCTCCTACGCTGCGTCGACTTCCTGTGCAAGTGTGATGCACCCATCAGCATGTACCCCAGGCTACTCCGCTTCATGGCCGAGCAGGAGACAACGGACATTCCGCTGCAGTCTTACGGAGTCTACCTGACACGGTAATGCACTTATTCGAAGTACACCATGTTCTTCATTTTCCATAAAGGTCTAACCAACACCCTGCTGTCACTTCTGCTACTACAGGTATGGCTTCTGTCAGCTCGTCAGCAGCCTCGCAACCTACCTGCAGCGCCGACAAATGCAATACATTCTCGCCTCACCCTACCTCGGCATCAGCTGCGACGAGAGCACTGACCGTACTCGCGGTAAACATCTTATTGTTTATCTGACCTTCTTGCGTGCGCATCGTGTTGTCACAGAGTTTTTTGCTCTCCTGACCGTCGAAAAGTGCGATGCCGCGTCTCTCCTCGCCGTTCTTCTGGCTCACTTGCGAGCAACTGGCATCGACCTCTCCCGAATCACCGGCATGAGCACCGACGGCGCCTCTGTCATGGTCGGCCGAGACAATGGTCTCGTCGCCCGACTTCGCGAGCACATCCCCCACCTCGTCTCGTCGCACTGCATCGCCCACAGGTTTAACCGCTTGTCATTTCAGTCGCTTAGAGTTCCTACAACTGCTTGTCTAAAATTCCTTCGTGTGCACCATGCAGGGAAGCCTTGGCGGTGAAGGACGCGGCCACTGCTTCTCCAGACTTCGACATGGTCGACCTTGTGATTCGGACTCTGGCCGATCTTCTGGGACGTTCCTGTGTCTGGAGTCAACGCTTCAAGTACCTGCAGCGGGCAATACACAACACCAACCTTGAAGTGCAAGGAATTCACACCGTGCGCTGGCTTTCAAGGGGTGAGGTTGTGAGGCGCCTCTGTAAAGTCCTTGGCGCCGCTATCATTCTCTTTTATGAGTACGGGCATGAGCTGTATGAGGTCGTCATCTGTTACAAGTTCCAGTTCTGTCCCTTTTTCCTGGCGGACGTGCTCGGAGTGATGAATGAGCTCAACCTCAAATTCCAGAAGAGGGAGGTGAGCTTCTATCCCTGTTAATGTTGTAGTTTTTGTCCCATGCATCCACGTTTGGAATCACCCTCTGACTCCACTCCCTTGTCTGTCACTTCCATCAGGTCGATGTCACCGAAGTGACAAAGGACATCGACGAGGCGACATGGGACCTCCGCCACCGCTACTTGGAGTGCGGAGAGGTGTTCGGTGGGGGTGTCGAAGGCACGTGGCTTTCGGCTTTCTTGGCGGTCTACGGGCGCGGAGGGGGCAAACGCGTAAAGGTGCGGGGCATCGACAAAGACGGCAACCCAGTCACGCACACCTACACCATGCACGAGAAGCAGATCGACGGGCATGCCTTCCGCAGCAAGTACCCCGATTGCGAGCGGCTCTGCGCGCAGTTCGCGAAGGACACGATAAGCTTCCTGAAGACGAGGATGCTGGACCTGAACAATCTCGGCCCGACGAAGCTCTTCCACGTGTCGAAGTGGCCCCGGATGAAGCAGCAGAGAGAGAAGAAGCTGAAGGAGTACCTACATGGCTGCAGTGCCTTGTTCGACAACAGGCTGACAGGCTTTTCCTTGCAAGCTGCGCAGAAGGAGCTGGTCACGTGGGCGCCACTGATGCTGAGCCACCATGCCGACGAGGGATTCCATCAAGGCCTGACGAACTATCTCGGCTCGACGGAGTCGACCTTGTGAGAGATTGCTGCTCGAAGGACGATTGTTGCATTTTTTTTTTGCGCTTTTATTCTTCCCTTTGGATGTTGTTTATCGATTGTTGACTAGCATCGCTAATGCACTGGTCTTGTTCCGTGTACTCTATTCCCCCAACCCTTTTGGCAGTCGCTGGCCCAACCTCATGCGCTTGTGGCAGGCGTGCGCTGTCCTGCCGCTGAGCACAGTGGAGTGTGAACGAGGCTTCTCGCGGCAGAACGTCGTCAAGTCATGGGTGCGGGGCGCGTTGTGCAATGCGCGCCTCAGCGAGCTGATGGTCATTTCCCTGCTGCAGTACGAGACTGACTGGGACGAGGCCCTTGAGTGTTGGCGCGAGAAGCTGAGGCGCCCTGCTAAGTCTGTTCTGTTTGCCGCAGCGGAGAGGAAGCGTAAGGCGAAGGCGATTGAGGGGGCAGAAGTGAGGGTGGAGGAGGAGGCAGTCCCCGACTACATGGGGGATTGGGCAGAGGATGAGGGAGAGGGGGGGGGGGGAATGGGGGGAGAGGCTCCTCCTGAAGTGGAAGACAACCCGTTTCTGTCCGATGACGAGGCAGAAGACGAAGTGAACATGGATGGCCCAGAATTTTAGTCAAGTGTAGGTAGTGGCGTGGAATCTTGTGAAGTCTAGACTAGATAGAGGACTTGTAAACTGGCCTGGCGTAGTGGTGCTTTCACTTAACTAGTAACTGTACATTCCTAGTTGATTATTCAAGTGCAATGCAACCCTGATTGTTGATAGCCAACCCTGGAGATTTCAGGGTTGTAGGTTCCACAACACTGAGAAATCAGGGAAGTCAAAATTCCAACACTTGGCCCTCAGGGTAATTTTTTTTCCACATTCGACAGCTCAGGGTGCTATTTTTTGAAACGTC